AGAACTTTAGCTTTCGAGGAAAAGAGTCCTTTAGTCCTTGCAAGTCTTCTTTACTGCATAGACGCTCTCATTTCTTTGGTTCCTTTGCTAATGGGGAAACAGCTTGTAATAACAGTGCTTAATTCTGTTTAATCTCTATTTAAAGTGCTCAACACAATATGCTGGTTGCGAGCTTGTAACTAATAAGATATGTGTGTATTGTGTAGCCACTCGACATGGCATGTTTTGCTATTTTCACAAATTGGCTAGTCTTTTAATAATAAAGAGAACTTTTGAATAGGTTGTGAAACAAATAAGAGGTTCCTTATGTTGGTGTGTAGGCTACTTGAAATAGCTTATGGAAATTTTCCTAATTACTGGATTCCTTATTATAACATGGTATTTCTCATATATTTGAAACATATCCAGTTTTCCATTTTAAAAAAACATTTCATGTTATAGCCTAGAAATATTCTAACATATAATAGCATTAATTCACTTGACCCTATTTTATTATGAGTCCAGCGTAGCTAAACTATTTGCGAACTTTGTATAGAAGAGTAAGTGCCTGCTTGGTGCTCTATCTTGAATAATATCTTATCCAATAATAAACTTCCAAGTAGCTAAACATATGTAATGCCCCAACAACAAAGAAGCATGGAAAAAAAGGGCAGCCCGGTGTTCAAAACATCACACGTTGGAAGGGACGCTACTCAATGCGTGTGATGTAGACAACCTACCCTAATGCAAGCATTAGTAGTTGCTTCCACTTCTCAAACCTGTGACCTATAGGTCACACGGAGACAGCTTCAATAAAGAAGCATGTCACTAGTCAATTTTTTTAAAAAAACTACAGAAGCATGCCAACCTGATCCGAGTTACCATTATTTGCTAGAGCATAATATCCATGTTTTACCTAATTTTCTCTCTTGCTATTTTTTGTTCGAGTAGGTCTACACAAATTCTTTGCAGAGTGAAATGTTGGCTGCTAACGTTCATCCTGGTCGAGAGTCTGAGCTTTCATATTCTCCTTTCTCAACAACACAAGCAATGCCCACAAAATATGGCAACTCAGTTTCATCAATCAGTGGTTCAGCAATTTCTATGCCTGAGGTAATGTTTCTGCTGGAATCTAATCAATATTGCACATATCTTTCTATCCTAGCTTCAGCTGTAGTGTTGGTACCTTTACCCGCAGACATATTGACCTTAACTAGGACTATTTTATATTGAATGAGGGAAAAAATTGACCATTTTGATTTTAGTTAAAATGTATTAGTGATTATGCTTGTTGATTTCCAGGCAGATGAGATGAGTTTGAACAGTAAGGGTCTAGCTAAAAGCTGGTTGTATTGTTTTTTCCCTGATGAAGTAAATTGTTCATAAACGAGAAGATGATTACTGTGTAACACTTTGGAGTAAAGTTATGAATCTTGAGGCTTTTCACATTAGAGTCATGCTATATTTTGTTTGGAGCCAAGGATATCCTTCTAGTATAGGTATCTTGCGGTGTTTTCCCCCCTGATTTTTTCAATCAACTAAAATGTATCAACAAAAGGAGGGAATATTTATACCCTTCGGGGTGGCCCAGTGGTTTGAGCTTGGGACTTCCATGTTGGAGGTTTGAAGTTCGAAACCCCTTGCCAGCGAAAGCAAGGGGTTTGTCTTCTGGGTCGAGCTCGTCGCACCAGGCTTGCCTAGTGTGGGTTACCTCTCCTATGTGGTTTGCGAGTTATTGCATAGGAGCAGAGGTTTTACCCTGTGCGCGTAGCGGCTGCGGGTTTCCCTTGTCATAAAAAAAAAAGAAAAGGAGGGAATATTTATGAAGTTATAAAATTAACTTTAATAAAATAAATGAAGTGATGAAATAAATTGTTGGAATTTGTTATCTCTTAAAGTCCCAACATACATTGTGTATTTTGAAATTCCCCTCTAGTGCATGTCAATATTCATTCTTGAACAAAATTGTATCTGCAACAAACACCCTCTTTCCGACTTTCCCTGAAGGAGTTATTGGTCATGGCTTTTCTTGGAGTATTTTGAATGCTAAATTCGTGGCAATCAAGTATAACTGGTGGAAGGAGGGAAGAGAGAAGCGCAGTGTTATTTAGTTAAACGAGGCTGGAGTTGGTTTTTAACATTCTCGTAAGTATTAAGTCAGGTACTCAGAAGTACACTTTTGTTTTCTGAATGAAGCTTTTCGTTTGGATTGTTCTGATCGTCCCAAAAGCAAATAAAGTTATAGGTTTAAGTGGTTAAAAGGTTCAACATTGGCTGGAGTTGGTTTTTAACATTCTCGTAAGTATTAAGTCAGGTACTCAGAAGTACACTTTTGTTTTCTGAATGAAGCTTTTCGTTTGGATTGTTCTGATCGTCCCAAAAGCAAATAAAGTTATAGGTTTAAGTGGTTAAAAGGTTCAACATTTTATACAAATATTGATCACAGTTCACACATGTCTTAAATGTGGTTCCTCTAAGTGACGTGTTGCTTTAGTTTGATCGGTGATTCATATTCTGGCCAGTGTGCTGTCTATCACAACTCTATGTAATATGAATTGGTGACTTGAGACGGGGAAAGCATTATACATCCTATTTTCCCCCTTCAAAGTTGGTGCAATAATTTTTCTCCCTTCTCTTGTTTTTATGGTGTAATGGTTGACTGTGTCCTCTTCTATCTTTTGTGTAATGCACTCAAGTGCTCATTATTTCGTTGTTGTTATTGCCCCCCATATCTGTATCTCCCCCTTTTCAAACTGTTTGGAATGCCTTATTTAAGCCGAGGGTCTATCGGAAACAACCTCTCTATCTCTACTAGTTCTACAAGATAGGGGTAAGGTCTGCGTGCACTCTATCTTCCCCAGACCCCACTTGTGGGATTACACTAGGTATGTCGTCGTTGTAATAGTTGACAGTGTTAGTGTTTCCTGCAGGCTATGAAGACGGTTGACTTTTCATCAGCACAGCCTACTCAGCAGCAGATGCTTTCTGGAAATAGTGTCGCCACAGGACCTGGCGTACCACAACATCTAACTGTACACCAATATTCTCAACAAGCTGTTCCTATTGCACCATTTGGCAACATGATTAGTTATCCCTTTGTGCATCAGAACTATTCATATATGCCATCTGCATTCCAACAAGCATATCCTGGTAATAGCAGTTACCATCAGTCGCTTGCAGCAATGCTCCCCCAATATAAGAATACCGTTTCTGCCAGCAGCTTGCCTCAGTCTGCCGCTATTCCTTCTGGATATGGTGCTTTTGGAAATACAACAAATATCCCCGGGAACTTCCCAATCAACCCCCCTGCTGCTCCATCTGGTACTAACTTAAGTTACGATGATGTATTAAGTGCTCAGTTCAAGGATACCAATCATTTGATGTCTCTTCAGCAGGTAACCTGTTCTTTTTGTGAGCACAAGTATTCTTACTGAACTCTCTCTCTCCAAGAAATTGCTTGTCCTGACTAATCATAATGTGAAATGACCATTTTAATAGCTACTGTCAGGGCCTCAGGGGTAGCAAAATCAGCCCATGTGAACATGATCCCCTCAACCCGTTCTCCATTTATTAGTTCAGCCCATTTTAGTTTCCACCCGTTTCAGCCAATCTACAAATTGGGCTGATATGTAGCCCAAATTGATCGATAGAAACTGTGTCAAAATATTTTCAAAAATACATTTTTTTGTTGGTTATGTTCTATAAAACCATTCACTTTTAATTCCATTTCAGCGCAAGTAATTTTTGGGCGGGTCATGATCCACTTTTTAGCCTATTCACCCCATTTGACGCCTCTAGCTTCTGTTTTTGTTTGGTCAATTGCATTTATCAATCTCCACCTTGGTGGTTGGCGCAGCACATCAGAAATGCTCTGTAATTTCCATTTGTCATGACTTTATCTGGCATGCCCTTTGCTTTATTTGACACTCCTGTTTCCGTCCTCTTTCAGAATGAGAACTCAGCTTTGTGGCTTCATGGACCTGGTTCAAGAACAATGTCAGCTGTTCCCGCCAACACGTATTATGGCTTTCAGGGACAGAATCAGCAAACAGGCGGATTTAGGCAAGGCCAACAGCCATCACAAAGCTATGGATCTTTGGGGGGATACCCTCATTTCTACAATTCTCAGGCTGGTATCTCGTTGGACCAACAACAGCAACAAAACCTTCGAGATGGATCATTGTCTGGTTCACAAGGCCAGCCAAAGCAGTCTCAACAACAGTTATGGCAAAACGGCTACTAAATCTTACTACCTCCCTTGTTTTTCTTTTTCTTTTTTTTGGGGTCTTGTAATGAGTGTGAAAGTGGCCTTTCGAGCTATTTCTGTTGAAATAACCCTCGTTCACGATCCCTGAAGAAACTTGACTGGCTGCTGCCCTGTGCCATGAGTCTCTACTTTTACGTGTTTTATCTCAGAGTTGAATGTAACGTAGGTAATGTCTGAGCTAACACAGTGCTCTAGGCGTCTCGTCTGTGTTTTCTTTTAGCTCTTGTTTAACACGGTTAACCCTCCTTTTCGTCGTTCTTAATCTATAGTTATTAGTGTTATGTTTCCCAATAGTAATCTATTGCATTACAATCCCACTTTCTACTTTCATGTCCAGTCTCTCACATAATGTTTTGAAATATTGGTAAGTTTCATGTGGTTATACTAATTTTGTGCATATACTACTTACCAAATCTGTCAATAACAGAGGCGTTTTTTGCTTCTGGGCTGCGGGTTTATTTGAACTGATAATTTTTGATACAAAGTATATTTTTTAAATTTATAATGATTTTAATTTTACAAATGAGTTTAGTGTTAAGAACTTACTGATCGAACATTTTAAAATTTTGAATTCGTCTAGTTAGGAGTTCAAGTATTTTTAGGGAAAACATAATTAACCTGTTATCATAGGTTGAATTCCATTTATGATGCATTTTTTTATATTTGTTTATATCGATGTATAAAACTTAAAGAGATATATTTAAGATGAAAATTGGAACTACGATATTAAAAATTGCTTGTGCAAGAAAAAATATATATGAAAAAATTAACTTGTTCTTCATTAATTAATCCAAACCAATTTACACCACATACACAATAATCTTGTACTGAACCCATAACCCAGAATGCTCTTAAAAAACTGACCCCTTCTATAGATTCATCTCTCACAAAGCTAAAAACTCATAATCTCACACTAATTGGAGGTTAGAGATCAACATATTGTTAAGCTCACTTTCCGGGAACAAAGTTTGTGGCAAAGGCCCAAGCGTTGTTGTTAACTGGGTCAGCAAGGTGGTCGGCAAGGTTCTCCAATGGACCCTTTCCGGTGACAATAGCTTGGACAAAGAATCCAAACATGGAGAACATAGCAAGTCTGCCATTCTTGATTTCCTTAACCTTGAGCTCAGCAAAAGCCTCTGGGTCATCAGCAAGGCCCAATGGGTCAAAGCTACCACCAGGGTAAAGTGGGTCAACAACCTCACCAAGAGGCCCACCAGCAATACGGTAACCCTCAACGGCTCCCATCAACACAACTTGGCAAGCCCAGATAGCCAAGATGCTTTGTGCATGGACCAAACTTGGGTTGCCCAAGTAGTCAAGTCCACCCTCGCTGAAAATTTGGGATCCAGCCTTGAACCATACAGCTTCACCAAACTTGACACCGTTACGGGCCAAAAGCTCAGGGAAGACACATCCAAGAGCACCAAGCATGGCCCATCTGCAGTGGATCACCTCAAGCTCACGGTTCTTAGCAAATGTTTCAGGGTCAGCTGAAAGTCCAGCAGTGTCCCATCCGTAGTCACCAGGAAACTCACCAGTCAAGTAGCTTGGGGCTTCACCAGAGAATGGGCCCAAGTACTTAACACGGTCAGGACCATACCATGGGCTACCAGAGGAGGCAGGCTTGGCCTTGGCAGCACTCTTCCTCATGGTAATTCTCCCATTTCCGGTGATTTCAGAAGAAGATGGTGAGAGTTTTACCGCCTTACCGGCGAAAGTAGAGGAAGAAAGAGCCATGGATGAAGCAGCCATGATTTAATATTAATAAAAAGAAATGAAGTGTATTTTGATGGTTGTTGTGTGATGATTTATGTTCAATTGTGATTAATAACACTATATATAGGAGGGAGGGAATATGGTTGGTTCTTATCTTATGATATCTCTATCTACAATTTCATTGGTTTTCAAGATTTTATTAGCCACTTGGCATTTTATAATCCATCAATATTTCAAGATATTTTTACTAATGGGGTCCAACAAATATGTGGCTATGAATATTGCAAACTTGTCCTATATGCTGTCAAGTAAGATACTTTAGTCTAGGTGTTCCATTGATATTTTTCATCCAAGTGTTGCTCTGAAAAACTGAACAATTAATTCTAAAACTTGTAAATTTTCTGAAGCTAAGTAGAGGAAATTAAAAGGGTTCAATTGAATCTCATTCATTGAGAGATTATACGAAATATTATATAAATAAAGTAAATTTTTTTCGTATATATAAATTGTTGAACTCTCTTGATACAAGAAAAAATCGAGTGAGGTCGTAAATTTAAAACTCAGCTCAAATCTTAGGTGTTATATTCTAATATTATATATTTTGTTTTCTTTTGTATAAACTTGTCGCCCCACAACTGTTTATAGACAGAGTTAAGAGCGAAAGAGGTTTATTCAGGCTCCATAGTTGGAAAATCATATGGCATATATAAAGTCAATTTATTTAATAAAAATATATAAAATTTATACTGAAATATGACATGACCTTTTCTATGAGTTTTTTTTTGTGAAAATGAAGGATACAAAATTAATCAGTCCTTTTTATTTAATTCTTGTTACTATTGCTAATTTGAATATACATGAATGAAAATTTAATTTTCCACTTCCCCCCCACCTCCATACATCTTCACGAAGAGCCTATACAATATGTGAATTAAATTCAAACATTACTGTCTCATTGTCAATTTGCCCCTCATTCAAAGTGGTCCTATTTTACACACAAGTGTGTGAACTATTGCATGGCCATTAGTTACTCTTATGTTTTAGGTCAAGTGGATATTATATTGAAGTAATCCACAATCACACGTGGCAACTCTGGATTGGTTTTAAGAAAGGAAATCTAAAATGTGTTAGATTTTTGTATACATAATGTATCTAAAAAATATCTAGTCATCTTTAATGGTGTTGAGCTTTGCCAAATGGACAATAACACCAAAAGGTTAGATATTGCATCCACCAATGAAAAATCAGATATAGATATTCAGGGATAATGATATATTGGGGCTAAGGAGTCTATTTCTAATTTATATACAGTTGGTGCAAGGCACAAGAAACTCAAGCCTCAAATCAACTCTTCTTTTTTGTACATTCAAAGAGTTTTCATTCTACTTCTTACAATGGCTGCTTCTACAATGGCTCTTTCCTCCTCTACCTTTGCCGGAAAGGCAGTGAAACTCTCACCATCTTCCTCTGAAATCACCGGAAATGGGAGAATCACCATGAGGAAGACTGCTTCCAAGGCCAAGCCTGCCTCCTCTGGTAGCCCATGGTACGGTCCTGACCGTGTTAAGTACTTGGGCCCATTCTCTGGTGAAGCCCCAAGCTACTTGACTGGTGAGTTCCCTGGTGACTATGGATGGGACACTGCTGGACTTTCAGCTGACCCTGAAACATTCGCTAAGAACCGTGAATTGGAGGTGATTCACTGCAGATGGGCCATGCTTGGAGCTCTTGGATGTGTCTTCCCTGAGCTTTTGGCCCGTAACGGTGTCAAGTTTGGTGAAGCTGTATGGTTCAAGGCTGGATCCCAAATTTTCAGCGAGGGTGGACTCGACTACTTGGGCAACCCAAGCTTGGTCCATGCACAAAGCATCTTGGCTATTTGGGCTTGCCAAGTTGTGTTGATGGGAGCCGTTGAAGGTTACCGTATTGCTGGTGGGCCTCTTGGTGAGGTTGTTGATCCACTTTACCCTGGTGGTAGCTTTGACCCATTGGGCCTTGCTGACGACCCAGAGGCTTTTGCTGAGCTCAAGGTTAAGGAAATCAAGAATGGCAGACTTGCTATGTTCTCCATGTTTGGATTCTTTGTCCAAGCTATCGTCACCGGAAAGGGTCCATTGGAGAACCTTGCTGACCACCTTGCTGACCCAGTTAACAACAACGCCTGGGCCTTTGCCACAAACTTCGTTCCCGGAAAATGAGTGTAACAAAAAATAGATCTCTAATCTTCAAGTAGTGTGAGATGAGTTTTTAGGTTTTGAGTGATGAATCTATAGAAGGGGTCAAATTTTTAAGCATTCTGGGTTATGGGTTCAGTAAAGAGATTGTAATGCACTAATGTGGTGTAAATTGGTTTGGATTAATGAAGAACATGTGAATCTTTTCATATTTATCTTTTTATAGCATGTAAACTTAAATTACAAATTCCATATTATTCTAAAGATTTTTACTTGTAAATATCTTTAAATGACCTTATAGTATAAAAAATTCTTTATAATAATAACAATATATACAACTTAATTTTTTAAAATGATTTGATTATTAACAATATACAAGTGCACTAGTACTATGGAATAGAGGTTTTTAAAATGCATAAAATGATAAAGTTTCTAACTGTTGAGTGTTGGATATAAAATGAAATAAATATTAAGAAGTATGTTTTAAGGAACGTTACAGTTACCCTAAACACTTTGACCAATCAGTTTACAAAATATGTACAAAGTGTATAGGCGGTTATTCATATTTTATACTAAATAAACATATACTACACTTATAATATATATAACATATACACTATTAGTATATACATGGTGTATATTTCATTCATGTTGGTAAATTAGCAGGCAGAATGGTACATACCCATAACTTTTCGTATAATATTCTTGATAAATGATGTTCATGACTTCTAATATGTAATTTGGTCTTGTACAACAAAAACATACCCTGTGAAATCTCACTATTCTATCCACTTAATTAATATGTAATTTGTTCTTGTAGAAGTTCATAAATCGTAATTATTCTAGCCACTTAATTAACCTTAATATATGGCTTTCTAGTTTAGTTTTCTTATTATTCTCCTGTTTTTCTAATTGACTATTACTAGTTTTTCGACACATGCGTTGCACGTGATTACCAATTTAGAAAATATATGTTATAGTAAATAGTATTGCTTATTTAAGTGGAGATTTGAATAATTAACTTTGCACAAAATAATATTGCAGATTCTTTTTTGAATGTTCAATATGGATCGTCATATAAATATATCTTATCATCCCAACATTTATGAATGAAAGACATGCCAAAACTTTGATACAAATTATTCACAAGTTCTATGAATGAACAAAATTTCAAGGTCATAACTTTCACAAGCGGGTCATCACATTTTTCACAAGAGTTATGTCGGGAGTAAGAATGAAAATTTAAGCTTTAACAAAAGATATGTCATACGAGCCATAACTTTATTTCAAATTATTGATAAATTCATAAGCAAAACTTGTCTTATCACAAGTTATGATGGACACAAGCATAACTTTAGTAAAATTGTTCATAAGTTCTGTCGAATTGATGACAAAATTTATACGTATTGTTTATTTGTTAAAGAATTTTCACGAAACTAGCCAAACTTTTTACCGTCTTTGTTTAACTTACCTATAGTATCTCACACAAAAATCAAATCATATTTCATTGGAGCTTAATTAGCTGTTGGGACACTTGAACTTGCATTACCCTAAGTTCAATTTTTTTTCTTATATTGTCTCATTGTCAATTTGCCACACATAAAAGTGGTCCTATTTCATATGACAGCCAAATAAATTTAAGTGTTTGAACAAAGTGGATATTATGTTGCAATAATCAACAATCACACGTGGCAACTATTGATTGGATGTAATATACAAAATCTTCATTGTGTTAGATTTTTTGAATATGTGAAGTATCTAAAAAAATCTAGTCATGTTTAATGAACTTTGCCAAATGGACAAGTATGCAAAATGTTACAGATTGTCATCCACCAATGAAAAAAGAGATATAGATATTCAAGGATAAGGGTATTGGGCCTGTGGAGTCATTTATATACACTTGGTGCAAGGCCCAAGAAACTCAAGCCTCAAATCATCTATTCTTTTTGAACATTCTAAGAGTTCTCATTCTACTTTTATAATGGCTGCTTCTACTATGGCTCTTTCTTCCTCTACCTTTGCTGGAAAGGCGGTGAAACTCTCACCATCTTCTTCTGAAATCACCGGAAATGGGAGAATCACCATGAGGAAGACTGCTGCCAAGGCCAAGCCTGCCTCCTCTGGTAGCCCATGGTACGGTCCTGACCGTGTTAAGTACTTGGGCCCATTCTCTGGGGAAGCCCCAAGCTACTTGATGGTGAGTTTCCTGGTGACTACGGATGGGACACTGCTGGACTTTCAGCTGACCCTGAAACATTCGCTAAGAACCGTGAATTGGAGGTGATCCACTGCAGATGGGCCATGCTTGGTGCTCTTGGATGTGTCTTCCCTGAGCTTTTGGCCCGTAACGGTGTCAAGTTCGGTGAAGCTGTATGGTTCAAGGCTGGATCCCAGATTTTCAGCGAGGGTGGACTCGACTACTTGGGCAACCCAAGCTTGGTCCATGCACAAAGCATCTTGGCTATTTGGGCTTGCCAAGTTGTGTTGATGGGAGCCGTTGAAGGTTACCGTATTGCTGGTGGGCCTCTTGGTGAGGTTGTTGACCCACTTTACCCTGGTGGTAGCTTTGACCCATTGGGCCTTGCTGATGACCCAGAGGCTTTTGCTGAGCTCAAGGTGAAAGAGATCAAGAACGGCAGACTTGCTATGTTCTCCATGTTTGGATTCTTTGTACAAGCTATCGTCACCGGAAAGGGCCCATTGGAGAACCTTGCCGACCACCTTGCTGACCCAGTTAATAACAACGCTTGGGCCTTTGCCACAAACTTTGTTCCCGGAAAGTGAAGTTTTTGAGAGAGAAAATGTTACTTCTAGTATCTTATTGTTTGATGACCTTTTAAACCTAGCAATTGTAAATTACTAGAGATTATATATGAAGTTTTTTGCCATCAGGCTATACTACAAAGTTTTATCTTGTGTCCATCTTCAGTGTTAAATTATGTAACATTGGTTATAACTAGGCAATGATTTAAAAATAAAAAAGAGAATATTATCCTAACCATATGGTTAAGACCTAGTGTTTGTTGATTAAATCTAAATCATTAATCGTAAGAAGTTGAAAAAATGGAGACAAGAGAAAATGAAAGATTAATTTCTTTATGTTATTAATAATGACTAAACAGTTTTTTTTTTTTTTTAAATTTAAATATACCACTAGACAGATCTAGTGGTGTTGTATTAATATAAAAAATATAAAAATCCTTAATAGGGATAAGTACAAGCAAGGGGGGCTAGACCTTACCTTTCCATTCCTAATAAGGTTATGAACCTCTACTAATTAACAAGCATGAAGAAAATAAGAACTAGAGAGAACTAGATATTCTACGACCATCATTGAGTTAGTAACATACTCTACGATGATATTACAAATGAGGATACTTAAATAATGCAAACATATAAAAGCCAAGAAGAAAGTTGTGTTATCAACCTCAACCTTCCTTTTACAAATGTATGGATTAAAAAAAATAGATTGCCCGTCTAAAGTAACTTGAAGTATTTTCCTTTTGTCTTCTTCTTCAAATCTGTCCAACAACAATTGATAGTTCATCACTTTTTCTTGGGTTGATTGGATCTTGTTAAATCTATTGACACTGTCATATGATTTTGCTTTGCCAGTCGCATAGGTAGTTGCCTTGGAACAAACTCTCCGATCACTTTACCATCCCAACTGTGTTGCCTACCACGTGTCTTCCTTTTGCTTTTGTTACTTCCACTTCTTTGATGCCTAGGTGAGATATCTTCATCCCTAGCCACTTTATCAAAACATTCGTCTAGTATATTATCTTCCTCATCCTTATCAAAAGAATCATCGCCCAAATCAATAGCATAAGCATTAGTGGGATTAACTATTGATGCTAAGGCCTCTACTTCATTCTTCTTTGCAATCACACTTTTAGGCACAAATTCTAAAGCTTGTGGACTTAATTTTCCATTCAAAATAGGAGGTGAGACATGCACTTCTTCATCAACCAAAACATCCCACCTAGGAGCACTCCTCTCCCCTTGATTTTCCTTTGAAATAATCAAATTATTTGTGAGATTAGCTTGAGAAAGTGATGACATACCTTTCACCAAATCTTTGTCATTCCATTTGGACAAAATGAGTTGTCCAAATTCACCTTGAAGTTCCCTAAACAACTCCAAAGATTGGGTAGGGACCTCATGAGCTAAGGTGTTCAAAGTGACTATGGGTGGCTTGATCGCTAAATTGGATTTGAGTGCCAAGGAAGCCTTACATTCTTGAATACTCTTATATACTTCAGGATTAGAAATATGTAATGTTGGAGCCGTAACATTACCATCTTTTCCGATATCCTTCAAGAAAGCATCAAAACTATTCGAGCATAATAGGTCATTTGAGGAATTACTTCGCGAACCTGGAGAAACATTAGATGATTCCTTCCTACGTATAACCATGTTCCAGTTCCCAATGCCAGAAACATCGACTTGCTGCATTAAATTTGGATTCTTTGACCTCTGATGTTGTGTTGTTTTTATAGGTATACCAAAAACTCTATCACCTGAACTTGTGCTCATATCACCTCGATTTCCAAGCTCCAAATCGTTCTCACTGGAATTTTCATTTAGTAAAAAAAAAAAAAAAAAAAAAAACTAAACAGTTAAATAATATATGCATTTTTACATCGTAGTGATAAATTTCACAATCATATACGGTTATAGTAATTTATTATTGAATCTACATTCCTTGCTTGAACCTTCTACACCAAAGTCAATTCAATAAAGTTTTTCCATTCGATAGGTGCTATATATCAAATGATTTATCTAGTAATCGGCAATCTAGAAGCAACTTAATTATTCTATTAGCTATCGATTTTGGATCTTATTAATCTAATATAATAATCGATAAGAAAATAACTATCGATGTCAGCTACACAGTACACATCCAGAGTAGGACGTAAACAATGAATTATTCTCTTTGACAATAATCAATCAAAGTCAAAACGAACATACAATGTGATTTGAACCACACCCTCACTTCACGTCTTCTGACAACGATTTAGTACGACAATGACGTATCATTTTCTTCTGATTCCTATCGAGTGGCCCATAGGTTCTTCTGTTTTAAGGTTGTTTGAGATTTATGTCAAAATGAGCATACAATATGTTCTAAGGTTGTTTACATAACTTCTTCACAAGTTATGCCGCATAAAAGAATGATAAATTAATCTATCACAAGCTATGCTTGACATGTCCTAATTTGGCACTAATGGTAATTCACAAGTAATTATGACGATCGTACAAATTATTTACAAGTTCTATCAGATTGACAAAACTCACATATATTATTCAATTGTTCACAATTTTTATTGAATTGATGACATTTTGTACTATTTTCATTCTACCTATCTTCAGTAACCCTAAAACAATTTGTATTTCATTTCAAATGTATAAAAAAAGGTTATTGTACATTGTCTCATTGTCTATTTGCAACTCATACAAGTGGTCCTATTTCATATGTCAGCCAAATAAACAGATGTTTGTGAACAATGCATGGCCATGAGCTACTCTTATGGTATGGTCAAGTGGATATTATATTGCAATAATCTATAATCACACGTGACAACCATGGATTGGCTGCATGAGAGGAAATCAACATTGAGTTAGATTTTTTAAACTTATAAAGTATCTTTAAAAAAATCTAGTACAAAATTGTCATTCACCAATGAAAAAGCAGATAATGATATTCAAAGATAAGGATTTTGGGCCTGTTGAGTCATTTATATACACTTGGTGCAAAGCCCATGAAACTCAAGCCTCAAAACAACTTTTCTTTTTGTACATTCAAGAGTTTTCATTCTACTTCTATAATGACTACTTCTACAATGGCTCTTTCTTCCTCTACATTTGCCGGAAAGGCGGTGAAACTCTCACCATCTTCTTCTGAAGTCACCGGAAATGGGAGAGTCACCATGAGGAAGACCGCTACCAAGGCCAAGCCAGCCTCCTCTGGTAGCCCATGGTATGGTCCTGATCGTGTTAAGTACTTGGGCCCATTTTCTGGTGAGTCTCCAAGTTACTTAACTGGTGAATTCCCTGGTGACTATGGATGGGATACTGCTGGACTTTCAGCTGATCCTGAAACTTTTTCTAAGAATCGTGAGCTGGAGGTGATTCATTGTAGATGGGCCATGCTCGGAGCTCTTGGTTGTGTCTTTCCCGAGCTCTTGGCTCGTAACGGTGTTAAGTTTGGTGAGGCTGTATGGTTCAAGGCCGGATCTCAAATTTTTAGTGAGGGTGGACTTGACTACTTGGGCAACCCAAGTTTGGTCCATGCACAAAGCATCTTGGCAATTTGGGCTTGCCAAGTTGTGCTAATGGGAGCCGTTGAAGGTTACCGTATTGCTGGTGGGCCTCTCGGTGAGGTTGTGGACCCACTTTACCCTGGTGGTAGCTTCGACCCATTAGGCCTTGCTGACGACCCAGAAGCTTTTGCTGAGCTCAAGGTAAAGGAAATTAAGAACGGCAGACTTGCTATGTTCTCCATGTTTGGATTCTTTGTTCAAGCTATCGTTACCGGAAAGGGTCCATTGGAGAACCTTGCCGATCACCTTGCTGATCCAGTAAACAACAACGCTTGGGCCTTTGCCACAAACTTTGTCCCCGGAAAGTGAACTTCTTGAAATAGAGCCTCTTCTAGTATTTGTTTGTTTGATAGGCCAATGTAGCTACTGTAAATTATAGGAGATTATATATGAATTTTTATTTGGTCTCCAATAATTATGTAGTTCTATATATCTTTATACCTACAATTCACAATAGCAGTATGTATTTGCATATCATGTGGAAAGTAAAAGTGAATAGAAAATTCCTTACTATAGGACTTTTTAAATTACATAAAATTGGGAAAGTTGGTAATTACTAGAAAACTATTCCATCAAGTTAGAAACTCAAGGTATATTAGGAACAAAGATTTAGTAAGGGATTATCAAAAAGTGAAAAAAAGTAAATTAAAATGTATCTGACGTGGCAATGACATGGCAAAAACCTATCATAAATGTAAAATATCTTTCACCAGACTACTTTCTACTTAAAAAATGGGTCAATATCGATTGTCAAAATCAATGAACAACTTAAAAAAAGCAACGTGAAATCAACAGACTATATATCACTGATTTATCCTTCATCGTTTTTTGTGAAATCGACAAATAGAGTCTGTTTAAGGGATAATCGATCCTGTCCGTCGATCGGTTTTAAAAGTCCGACAAACAGTGTTGAGTTTTTAGAAATATACATAAAAATGTAGCTACTTGGAATTGAATCTAGCTATATTCTATGACTTAAGACAATTTTATCGTTCGATCACACATGCTCTACAATGAAATATTTTCTTTATTTTTATTTATATTCTTCAATTATAATTTTACACTTCAACGTCGATCCTGTTCAACGATAGGAAATATTACATAACCACTTGATGAAATCCGAAAGAAAATGGATAAATGACCGATACTACTATATGATTAGTCTTTAGATAATAAGTATTGTTCATATTCTTATAATCGATTTAATAAGTATCTTCTTTTATGGTTCATATTATGTAATATTTTTTCTTGGAAAGATTGATAAATGAATTTTTCTAAATTTAATTTTGTTATTATTCTGTTTTCCTAATTGACATTCAGAGTATAAATTAGTCAATGAAATAATTGCTAGAAAATAATTTCAATTTTTTCATTTGTCTTATTGTTATGAAGAGGTTACACCACTCATACAATATGTGAACTATTGCATGGCCATAATTTTTTAGATGTGGATTTTGCAAGATTCCACTATATATCACACGTGGTGACTCAGGATTGGCTGTAAGAGAGAAAAATCAACATTTTGTTGGATTTTTTTGGACATAATAATGTATCTAAAAAATATCTAGTCATGTTAAACAAATTGTCATCCACCAATGAGGAAATAGATAATGATATTTTAGGATAAGAACTTTGGTCCTTAGAGTCATTTAAATATACTTGTTACAAATCAAATATTCATTCAGTGTAGTAGCAACATTCAAGAGTATTTCATTTTATTTCTATAATGGCAACTTCTACAATGGCTCTTTCTTCCTCTTCTTTTGCCGGAAAGGCGGTGAAACTCTCACTATCTTCTTCTGAAATCACTGGAAATGGGAGAGTCACCATGAGGAAGACTGCTGCCAAGGCCAAGCCAGCCTCCTCTGGTAGCCCATGGTATGGTCCTGATCGTGTTAAGTACTTGGGCCCATTCTCTGGTGTGTCTCCAAGTTACTTGACTGGTGAATTCCCTGGTGACTATGGATGGGATACTGCTGGACTTTCAGCTGATCCTGAAACTTTTTCTAAGAACCGTGAGTTGGAGGTGATTCATTGCAGATGGGCCATGCTTGGTGCTCTTGGTTGTGTTTTCCCTGAGCTCTTGGCTCGTAACGGTGTCAAGTTCGGTGAAGCTGTATGGTTCAAGGCTGGATCCCAGATTTTCAGCGAGGGTGGACTTGACTACTTGGGAAACCCTAGTTTGGTCCATGCACAAAGCATCTTGGCAATTTGGGCTTGCCAAGTTGTTCTAATGGGAGCCGTTGAAGGTTATCGTATTGCTGGTGGGCCTCTCGGTGAGGTGGTTGACCCACTTTACCCTGGTGGTAGCTTCGACCCATTGGGCCTTGCTGATGACCCAGAGGCTTTTGCTGAGCTCAAGGTAAAGGAAATCAAGAACGGTAGACTTGCTATGTTCTCCATGTTTGGATTCTTTGTTCAGGCTATCGTCACAGGAAAGGGTCCATTGGAGAACCTTGCCGATCACCTTGCTGACCCCGTTAACAACAATGCTTGGGCCTTTGCCACAAACTTTGTCCCCGGAAAGTGAACTTCTTGAAATAGAGCCTCTTCTAGTATTTGTTTGTTTGATAGGCCATTGTATAGCTAGCTATTGCAAATTACAGGAGATTATATATGAAATTTTTATTTGGTCTCCAATAATTATATAGTTCCATATATTTTTATATTTACAATTTACAATAGTAGTATGTATTTGCATATCATGAAAAAACAAAAGTGAACAGAAAATTCCTTACTATAGGAGTTTTTAAATTACATAAAATCAGGAAAATCGGTAATTACTAGAAAACTATTCCATCAAATTAGAAACTCAAGGTATTTTAGGAACTAAGTTTTAGAAAGTGAATATCAAAAGTGTGAAAAAAAAATAATAAAAAAAAATAATAAAAATGTATCTGACGTGGCAGATGACATGGCAAAGACATATGACGTGTCTTTCACCGCTCTATTTTCTACTAAAAAATGGGTCAAAATCTATTGTCAAAATCAATGGACAACTTAAAAAAAACAACACCAAATCAATAGACTATATATCGCCGGTTTTACTTTCATCGTTTTCGTGAAACCGAGAGACATGGTCGGTTAAAATTGAGGGACAATCGACCTTGTTTGTCAATCGATTTTAAAAGTCCAACGGAGAGTATTGATTTTTTCAGAAATATACATAACAAATGTGGTTACTTGGAATCGAATTTAGATATTTTCTGGCTTTGGATAGTTCTATCATTCGACCACGCATGCTCTTCGATAAAATATTTTCATTGTTTTTATTTGTATTCTTCAATTGTAATTTTACACTTCAAAAATCAATCTTATACTTTGCTTTAATAAAATAATTAATAATAAAATCGAAGGACTGCCGTTGATTTTCGTCATAATAATGTTCACGACTTTAAATATTGTGTTTTGTTCTTATAGAAAAAAGAACCTTTAGAATGTTGGTCTCTTCTCCTTCTTCAATACACTTTAATTAGCAAAATGTTAATTGAAGTATCTAATTGTAAATAAGTAAACATAATTTTCTTATTAACTGATGTTAATCGTAAAGTATATTCGTATATGTACTTTTTTGCCGTAATTCAACGATAAAATATATTACATAACCACTTGATGAAATCTGAAGGAAAATGGATAAATGACTGATACTACTGTAAGAATTATTCTTTAGATAATAAATATTGTTCTTATTCTTATAATATATTTAATAAGTAACTTCTTTTACGGTTCATATTCTGTAATTTTTTGTTATTATTCTGTTTTCCTAATTGACATTCAGAGTATAAATTAGTCATTGAAATAATTGCTAGAAAATAATTTCAATTTTTTCATTTGTCTTATTGTTATGAAGAGGTTACACCACTCATACAATAGAATTGTGTGAACTATTGCATGGCCATAAATTTTTAGATGTGGATTTTGCAATATTCCACTATCACACGTGGCGACTCAGGATTGGTTGTAAGAGAGAAAAATCAACATTTTGTTAGATTTTTTGGACATAATAATGTATCTAAAAAATATCTAGTCATGTTAAACAAATTGTCATCCACCAATGAGGAAATACATAATGATATTTTAGGATAAGAACTTAGTCCTTCAAAGTCATTTAAATATACTTGTTACAAATCAAATATTCATTCATTGTAGTAGAAACATTCAAGAATATTTCATTTATTTCTATAATGGCAACTTCTACAATGGCTCTTTCTTCCTCTTCTTTTGCCGGAAAGGCGGTGAAACTCTCACCATCTTCTTCCGAAATCACTGGAAATGGGAGAGTCACCATGAGGAAGACCGCTACCAAGGCCAAGCCTGCCTCCTCTGGTAGCCCATGGTATGGTCCTGACCGTGTTAAGTACTTGGGCCCATTCTCTGGTGAGTCTCCAAGTTACTTGACTGGTGAATTCCCTGGTGACTATGGATGGGATACTGCTGGACTTTCAGCTGACCCTGAAACTTTTTCTAAGAATCGAGAGTTGGAGGTGATTCATTGTAGATGGGCCATGCTTGGAGCTCTTGGTTGTGTCTTCCCCGAGCTCTTGGCTCGTAACGGTGTCAAGTTCGGTGAAGCTGTATGGTTCAAGGCTGGATCCCAGATTTTCAGCGAGGGTGGACTCGACTACTTGGGAAACCCTAGTTTGGTCCATGCACAAAGCATCTTGGCCATTTGGGCTTGCCAAGTTGTGCTAATGGGAGCCGTTGAAGGTTACCGTATTGCTGGTGGGCCTCTCGGTGAGGTTGTGGACCCACTTTACCCTGGTGGTAGCTTCGATCCATTAGGCCTTGCTGATGACCCAGAAGCTTTTGCTGAGCTCAAGGTAAAGGAAATCAAGAACGGTAGACTTGCTATGTTCTCCATGTTTGGATTCTTCATCCAAGCTATTGTCACCGGCAAGGGTCCATTGGAGAATCTTGCTGACCACCTTGCCGACCCAGTTAACAACAACGCCTGGGCCTTTGCCACAAATTTTTCCCCCGGAAAGTGATTTTTTAAGAAATGAGTTTCCTCTAGTATAAATTGGCTAATGACCTAGTAAAGCCATTGTAAAACATAAATTATAACTGGAGATTATATATGAATTTTGTTCAATTTTATGGTTCTCAGTTACATATTTCGTGCTATCCATGCAACAGCATAATGGTAAAAACATACCAAATTATAACTTTTTTGGCGAGTTTCATACCTCTGTTATATTTCCATTGTTCTATTTACCTTTCTAAACTATCATTTTTCTCGAGTTTCAAATCTCAGTTTATTTCCATTGTTCTATTTATCGTTCTAAACTATCATTTTTCCCGAGTTTCATATCTCAGTTATCACTCCCTTTGTATTAAAGCACTCATCACATTGATCCTGAGTTGGGCTACACGTGACTGTTGTCGATTGAGATCACATATTTGACATACTCAGCATTGAAGTTTGTTTTAATACAAAAAGGAGTGATAGTTTAGGTAAGTAAAGGGAACAATTGACGGTTATGGTATGAAACTTACTTTAAAATGATAGTTTAAATATGTTTTTAATCATTCATTCCGACAACAAAGAATTCTAAGGTACAAAATAATAAGTTGCAGAACAGAGAAATGATATAACCTATATTCTTGCTTTTAAGAATTATAAGATGTATTTACAGATCATAATTGTTTTTTTGAACTAAATGCTTATTAATTTACCTGAAAATTTGATATGAAATTGGCTCTGTAACATCGTCGTGTAACATTATCTTGACATTGCTTTTTATGGTACTGGGGTTCGTTAATCACCAAGCACGTACATGAGCACGTGCTAAGAAAAATGAAATCGTTAGATCACGATTTCATAGTTATAAAAAATACTGACCTCCTTTTTAGATTTTAATTTGCTCTGCTCTGCAGTTACTTGTTTGTGCCTGGGAACAAATTTGATGCAATTTCGTTCCAAGTCTTGTGAATAGCCAAATTGAGAGACCAATATTTCTGCCACTTTTGTGTATGATTTATATGAGTAGTACATAAAATGCAACTTAGAAATATAAAATTATTGGAGAACCAAACAAAATTCATTTATAATGTTGATGTAATTCATAATATCTAGCTTTACAAGGCCATCAAACAATCAAATAATAGCGTAGACTCTATTCTAAGAAGTTCATTTTCCAGGCACAAAGTTTGTGGCAAAGGCCCAAGCGTTGTTGTTGACTGGATCAGCTAGATGGTCGGCAAGGTTCTCTAATGGACCCTTTCCGGTGACAATAGCTTGAACGAAAAATCCAAACATGGAAAACATAGCTAATCTACCATTCTTGATCTCTTTTACCTTGAGCTCAGCAAACGCCTCTGGGTCGTCAGCAAGGCCCAATGGGTCGAAACTACCACCAGGGTAAAGTGGGTCAACAACCTCACCAAGAGGCCCACCAACAATACGGTAACCCTCAACGGCTCCCATCAACACAACTTGGCAAGCCCAAATGGCCAAGATGCTCTGTGCATGGACCAAACTCGGGTTGCCCAAGTAGTCAAGTCCACCCTCACTGAAAATTTGGGATCCAGCCTTGAACCATACAGCTTCACCAAACTTAACACCGTTACGGGCCAATAGCTCAGGGAAGACACAACCAAGAGCTCCAAGTATGGCCCATCTACAATGAATCACTTCCAGCTCACGGTTCTTAGAAAAAGTTTCAGGATCAGCTGAAAGTCCAGCAGTATCCCATCCATAGTCACCAGGGAATTCACCAGTCAAGTAACTTGGAGACTCACCAGAGAATGGGCCCAAGTACTTAACACGATCAGGACCGTACCATGGGCTACCAGAGGAGGCAGGCTTGGCCTTGGTAGCGGTCTTCCTCATGGTGACTCTCCCATTTCCGGTGATTTCAGAAGAAGATGGTGCGAGTTTCACCGCCTTTCCGGCAAATGTAGAGGAAGAAAGAGCCATTGTAGAAGTAGCCATTATAGAAGTAGAATGAAGACTCTTAAATGGAGCTACTACACAAGAAGAAGAGTTGATTTGTTGCTTGAGTTTCATGAACCTTGCAATATATAAATGACTTGGAAGAACCAAAATCCTTATCCTAGAATATCATTATCTATTTTCTCATTGGTGCATGACATTTTGTTAACTACTGCATTATTATGTCCAAAAAATCTAACCAAATGTTGATTTCCTCTCTTATAGCCAATCCAAAGTTGCCACGTGTTTGATTTGAAGACTATTGCAAAATTCACATCTAAAAAATCATGGCCATGCAATAGTTCGCACCCTCTTTATGGCTGGCACATCTCAATAGCTGTGTATTCGGAATATTGACGGATTAATTTAGATTTGTGTCATGTAAATTTTATTTAAAACATATATTTCTATTAAAAATCTCTCTATTTTTCACTCCTTGACTAGGTGTGTATTCGAATTACTGTGTTGCTGGTGGACCTCTCGATGAAGTTGTTAACCTACTACTCTACCCCGATGATAACAATAATGCCTGGCCTTCGTTCTTAGAAAAGAGTCTACACTATTATTTTATGGCCTTGTAAAGCTATTTTGAATACCCGCTAAATTATATAAATTCACCCGCGAATTATACAAACGAGATAGCTCAAACTGTAGCTATAGCCCGTAATTATGCAAACTATAGCTATGAAGCATAATTAAGTTTATTATAGTGACTATTTGCGAAAATTCCCTATTTATTCTAGTCTCCAATAATTGTGTAGTTTTCAGTTACCTTTTTTCGTTCTTTTCATGAATCAAATACACAAGAAGATATATATATATATAAATTTTGTTTTATAAAAGTATTCACAAAAAAAATAATTTTCTGATTAGAAATATGAAATTTGACATTACGAAAATAAATTTAAATATATTAGAACCAATTGTTTAATTTTATATATTTTGTAATATATTTTATTTAAATTTACATATCGAAGGATCGGTTGCGAACATAAATACAATATGCAATTCACATCATTATGACATCTCACCATGTCTTCCAATATGAAAATTATCTTGGTTAAGGATAGAATTGATCTTTGATGGAAGAGTATTTAGTTAGATTAATGATGTCTCTCACATGTTTTTCTTGATAATTTAAGTGGATGCATTCCTAAAAATAGTCGTAGTTATACTTATGTTAGGTTGTTTTTTTTCTTTGTCAATTTAGGTGGATTCATTCCCAAAAGAGTAGTTATACTTAAGTTAGCTAGGATCAGCCAAATGAATATTAAATCTATTATAATCGCATATTCAAAACAAATCTTTGTTTGGCATAGGGTTTACATGATTGGTAGCGCGTTTGAGATAAATTTACCAAAATCTTATTTAGATGGTGTTATTTATGTACTTAAAACAAAAAATTGAAACAAGTTTAATGATTTCTGATATTTTACAAACAAAAGTTGGGTAACCTGTCCAAGCATAAGACTACTAAAACACATGTTTTAAGCGTCAAAAACCTCCCAAAACTTTATTTTTATTATAGAACTAGTCATTTGTACGTGTTAATAATTTATAGGTTTGTATGCGAAGAGTCAATATCTCATTATATAATCTAAAATTTCTTTCAAGTTAATAAAATGTTATCCATTTGTTGTAATACAATACCTTGATTCTTGTTTAAAAAAAAACTTCTTGGTAGATAATAAACTTTAAGTAATTTAATTCAAAAAACTACAATATCAAATAAAATTCTACAGTCATTTGACCAAAGACTCAAAAATTTGAAAAGAAATTTTATTACATTTGCAATTTCATGATTATATAAGAAAGTAATGAACTAACTCACTTTTTAAATATTAATTGTAACTTTGTGATACATATAGTAATGTTTTTTTTGGAGATTATAAGGATACTTTTGCTAAGGATTAAAATTAGTTGTAACTTAATATTAAGAAAAGAAAATTTAATATATTTCTATGTCACAGAACAAGAAAATTATAAATTGTTTAAATTAAAAAGACTTGAAAGCAATTCTCTTATATCTTTTAGAAACCAAAATAATCATTACTCTTGTAAAAATTCTTTATATTATCATTATATATAGTATAAGTTAGATCCATACACTTATATATATATGGATTTAAATCATTGTTTTTATTAACTATTTGGTATCATCATTATCTTATCATATCATTATATACATAAGTTAGATCCATACTTTATATATATATATATATATATTGTTCACATGAAGAGGAATATACACCACTCATAAACAAGTTTCCTATTTGATAGGCCAGCCAATTACAGAAGTATATGAAATATTGCATGGCCAGTAGTTGCTCTTGGTAAACTGGATTTTGCAATAATCCACTATCATACGTGGCGACTCTGGATTGGTTGTAAGTCGAAGAAAATTGCAATGGTTAGATTTTATTTTTTTTATATTAAAAACACATTGTTTTTAGTGGTGTTGAACTTTGCCAAATGGACATGACCAAGTTAAAAAACTGTTATCCACCAATGAAAAAAGAGATAGTGATATTCTAGGATAAGGACTTTAGTCCTTCCAAGTCATTTAAATACTGTTGGTTCAAGGCTCATGAAACTCAAGCAACAAATTAATTCAATTCTTCTTCTTGTGTAGTAGCTCCATTCAAGAGTTTTTTCATCTTACTTCTATAATGGCAGCTTCTACAATGGCTCTCTCTTCTCCTTCATTTGCCGGAAAGGCAGTGAAACTCTCACCATCTTCTTCTGAAATCACTGGAAATGGGAGAATCACCATGAGGAAGACCGCTACCAAGGCCAAGCCTGCCTCCTCTGGCAGCCCATGGTATGGTCCTGACCGTGTCAAGTACTTGGGCCCATTCTCCGGTGAGGCTCCAAGCTACTTGACTGGTGAGTTCCCTGGTGACTACGGATGGGACACTGCTGGACTTTCTGCTGATCCAGAAACCTTTGCCAAAAATCGTGAGTTGGAGGTGATCCACTGTAGGTGGGCTATGCTTGGAGCTCTTGGTTGCGTTTTCCCCGAGTTGTTGGCTCGTAACGGTGTCAAATTTGGTGAAGCTGTGTGGTTCAAGGCCGGATCACAAATTTTCAGCGAGGGTGGACTTGACTACTTGGGCAACCCTAGTTTGGTCCATGCACAAAGCATTTTGGCCATTTGGGCTTGCCAAGTTGTGTTGATGGGAGCTGTTGAGGGTTACCGTATTGCTGGTGGGCCTCTTGGTGAGGTTGTCGACCCACTTTACCCTGGTGGTAGCTTCGACCCATTAGGCCTTGCCGACGACCCAGAGGCTTTTGCTGAGCTCAAGGTAAAAGAGATCAAGAATGGTAGACTTGCTATGTTCTCCATGTTTGGATTCTTTGTTCAAGCTATTGTCACTGGAAAGGGTCCATTGGAGAACCTTGCCGACCATCTTGCCGATCCAGTTAACAACAATGCCTGGGCCTTTGCCACAAACTTCGTCCCCGGAAAGTGAAGTTTTTAAAAAGAGTCTCTTTGATTAGTTGTTTGTTTGATGGCCTTGTAAAGCTATTGTAAATTACAAGAACATAATATATATGAGTATTGTTTGTCCTCCAATCATTTGATAAAAGGTAAAACGTGACATTCTATTTGAGACATGCTAAAAAAACATGCATAACATAAATTGGAACAGATGGAGTAGCACCATTTCGCTTTTGGCTTACTCTGACTTGAAAGTTGTTTTGCTTTAATTAATTCTTTTAATGTTTTATCCTTTATAATTGTTTATATTCCTCATAAATAAAATTTCAGCGCTTGAAATTCAGCCTATCCAAACGGGCTCTTATACAAGAACATTACATTTAACTTTAAACAATCTAACTTTCGAAGATACGAAGAAACGGATTTTAGAATCTAGTAATTTAATTTCTCTATTTCTAAAGAAAGAAAAAAATGTATTGGATAATCAAATCTTTGACTGTGTATCAAGAAACTAGTAATGAACTTTTTTGGGAGAAACCATCTAATTACACAAACATTCCTACCATATTTACTAATTCCCCCTAAGTTTGAAACACTTTTATTTTATCTTACTATTTTATAATTTCATACCAAATTTCAAGTCAGTTACATGTGAGTTACACTATATACATGTATTTCACGTGTATCCGGGATACCAAATACGCGAGCAAGATGGGAGGGAGGCAAGCGAGATTTGTCTATGTATCCTTGATACATGTGAATCACACTAGATATATGTGTATCTAGTGTGATTCGCATGTACGAGTGAGATATGAGAAGAAAGTGAGCAAGATTTGTCTATGTATTCCTGATTCATGTGAACCACCCTAGATTAATATCATAAACGTGAGGTAAATCATCTGTAAATAGGTATACCAAAGTAGATCAATCCATAAATAACAACACATTGAATCATCCTAGCAATTAACTGTAATATGTTCACATAATTTACTATACAGCAAACTGTCATAGAGCTAATTTAACATTTATGAATTCCTTGCACGAAAGCATCCACTAGTAAATTAAGCATCAACTGCATTCTGTGAATGGTCACTGAATTTCGTCTTCTTCGCTTCATGATCCTTCAGAGCAGCCGTAATTGCATCGTCAGCAAGCATCCTGCCATACTGCAATCGAACAGGTGGACGATGGAAAAATGGTTTCCTATCTTCCTGTAGTAAAGTCAGATATGTTAAACACTACATCTCAATTCAGAAATATGAAAGACTACCCGTTAATCTTCAAGCATGTAGCACATGCATCAACAGAAAAAGAGAAGGCCAAAGATATATGGCGTAATATACATAGATTGTCAGACACCTTAACTTGGCCTAAACTAGTACTCCGATTCTGAGAATGCACATCTAGACACCTTCACTCTTCCTCATTGTGCCTCGTGAATACCTCGACATTTTTGAAGAGTCTGAGCAACATAGGTCCCTCAGGTAAGAACAAACAGAGCAGGACCACTACCACTGATTCGTGGATCATTCACTAAAATTTGGGTAAGGAGGGAAAGTAAAAGTTGTATCCCAAACGAATAACTAAGAAAAATCAACTGTCCAAGACTACCTATTAATCTATATGGGATAATACATTGATACATTAACTTGGCCTAAATTGACACCTAAACATTCTAACTTTAAAAATGCACATCTAGACATCTCAATCATCCTCGCTATATCGTACAGACCCAAAGTTGACGTGACACCTAAAGTTTGGAGGTGCCAATAGATCTGTTCTGATAACCTATCTAATCAATGTTTCCCCACAGATGTTCAGTCCTCCAAAAATACATTACTTTTGGATATTTTTGAAGCGTCCGAGCAACATAACACCCTAGGTAAGAACAACAGAGCAGGACCACTACCACTGATTTATGGATCATTCAACTATTAAATGTTCTATTTTCCTACATTTCATGTAGGAAACTAGAACACCATATATCAAACTCGATAAATCGTGATACTTTTGATTATATAACAAACAACATGATAGGAAACCAAATTCGATTAGGATAAACAATTTGAAAAAGAGAACATACTCTAACGAAGTAGGAGTAAGCAACATTAGTCTCTAAACCAACTATATTTACGATTTTCCCCGTCTTTTCATCCACTATCATCTTCGCATTAGGCTGATATGCGACAAGACTTATACATGGAATACCACCCTTAAAATAATCTTCCATCCATTTCCTCATCTCATCATCGATTTTGATTTGAGGTTTCATCATATCCTCACAAACCGGAGCTCCGGCAACACCCTCACCAACATTCCGATGATCATTGTAATGATATAGCTGCCGCCACCGCCACAGGTTCACCGGCGTTACACCGCTAACTCGATTTCCGATTTGTTTCAACATCTTTTTGAGATTTTGCCCTAAAGTTTGATTACTTTTACGAATTAGGGTGATATCGCATGTCTGTCTACATAAATATTTTTTTTTCTATTTATCGGGAGAGTCTATGGGTCGAAGAGTAAGGGTAAAAATGTAATTCTACTTATAATATATTTTAACGAAATATCTGGACGATTAAGAATAAAAATGTAATTTTCTTAATAATATCCTTTAATAAATAAAAATTGAGGATAAATTTTGAAATTAACTAGTTAGGAATTATTTTATTCCACTACTTTACACGTACATAGTGACGGATCCAAAATTTCAAATAAGGGGTTCAAGATTTGAACTTGGAACCTCAACGTGAGTTTTGAACCCCTCAACCACTAATAAGTCAACCTCTTATCTTACATTTCAGAGCTTCAAAATCAATATATAAACATAAAGAATCTTTAAAATACCTTAAATATACAACATTATTTTTTGCCAAGGGGGTTCGGAGAACCGCCCCTATACGTACATATCTTATACTAAATACTACCTAATAAATAATATCAAAACTAATACATTCTCCTAAATGACTCCGTCCAAAAAAAAATCACTAATTCATAATCATGATAATACGAGTTTAAGTGCACCAACTTATCCTTCTATATTCTATAACCTCCTTACAAATTTACAATGAATCATCCAAGTTAAACCTTGAATTGTAGCATCCAATTATTAATCATGGGAACTTAGTCCAATTTTTAAAAATAAAAAATAGGAGTTGTTCTTATTTTCTCACATGAAGTGGTGTATAAATGTTCCTACTTCATAAGCAAGCCAAACAGTCAAGTGGATTTTGCAATAATCCACTATCCATGTGGCAACTTCATATTGGCTACAAGAGAGGAAATTTTGCATTGGGTTGGATTTCATCTAGTCATATTTAGTGGTGTTGAACTTTGCCAAATGGACATGAATCAAGTTAAATAAAATATATTATCCACCAATCAAAAATCAGATAATGATATTCTAGGATAAGGACTTTGGTCTTTCCAAGTCCTTTATATGCACTTGATGAGGCAAGGTTCATGAAACTCAAATAAACAAAATCAACTCTTCTTCTTGCGTAGTAGCTCTATTCAAAAGTTTTTCTTCTTACTTTTATAATGGCATCTTCTACAATGTCTCTCTCTTCTTCTTCTTTTGCCGGAAAGGCGGTAAAACTCTCACCATCTTCCTCTGAAATCACTGGAAATGAAAGAGTCACCATGAGGAAGACTGCTACCAAGGCAAAGCCCGCCTCCTCTGGCAGCCCATGGTACGGTCCTGACCGTGTCAAGTACTTGGGACCATTCTCTGGTGAGGCCCCAAGCTACTTGACTGGTGAGTTCCCTGGTGACTATGGATGGGACACTGCTGGACTTTCTGCTGATCCAGAAACCTTTGCCAAAAATCGTGAGTTGGAGGTGATCCACTACAGATGGGCCATGCTTGGAGCTCTTGGTTGTGTCTTCCCAGAGCTCTTGGCCCGTAATGGTGTTAAATTTGGTGAAGCTATATGGTTCAAGGCTGGATCACAAATTTTCAGCGAGGGTGGACTTGACTACTTGGGCAACCCAAGCTTGGTCCATGCACAAAGCATCTTAGCTATTTGGGCTTGCCAAGTTGTGTTGATGGGAGCCGTCGAGGGTTACCGTATTGCTGGTGGGCCTCTTGGTGAGGTTGTTGACCCACTCTACCCCGGTGGTAGCTTTGACCCATTGGGCCTTGCCGAAGACCCAGAGGCTTTTGCTGAGCTCAAGGTAAAAGAGATCAAGAATGGTAGACTTGCTATGTTCTCCATGTTTGGTTTCTTCGTTCAAGCTATTGTCACCGGAAAGGGTCCATTGGAGAACCTTGCTGACCACCTTGCCGATCCAGTTAACAACAATGCCTGGGCCTTTGCCACAAACTTTGTCCCCGGAAAGTGAAGTTCTTAAAAAGAGTTTTGTATTAGTTGATTGTTTGTTGGCCTTGTAAAGCTATTGTAAATTACAAGAACATTACATATGAGTTTTATTCGTTCTCCAATTATTTTTTATTTCTAAGTTACATTTTCAATACTTATCCTATATAAAAAAAAAAAAATACAAGTTAAAAGTAGCAAAATGGGCTCCCAAGTTGCCAATTCACAAGTCTAGTCTAGGGGAACAAGGATTGACTCAATGGGTTCCAAGACAGTGCAAATTGAAATTGGAATCCAACAAAAATTAGGCCAATGATTTTTCTTCCAAATCTTGTAAAATCCCATGTTTGAAAATAAGATAATTACACTTATTCTACCATTCATCTTCTATTTTCTAGTTATTGAACATGTTAATTTATAAAGTGCACAAACATGAGCTTCAATTAGAAGAAGAGGGAATTCCTAAAATAGGAGTTATAACTTGCATAACATTAGAAAAATTTAATAATCTTTTTTTGTCTTTTATAAAGTCAAATCTCTCTATAACATTTTTTTCTAAAGAAAGATCTTTTAATAAGAACGAAAAATTCAAACAACATTATTAAAAAACTTTACACTTTTAATATAGTATATATAATATAGATAAATAATTCTCCCTCTTTCAAGTTATGTTGCGGTGTTTGACGTGCAACAAATCTTCAGATTTATTAATTTTCTTTTTAACTTATGATCTAAAATAAACCGTAGTTATGTATCCATAAATCATATCATTAAAATAAAATAAAAAAAATATATATAAACATAATATTTGGGCCAGTCGGGTTGATGTACTTGGGCCTTTATTCAAACTAAAGACCCAACTTCATTTAACCCGAATTTTTCACTACAGATTTCACAGATGCAAATTTGATGGATTTTGTGCTGAATTCCGATTGATTTTTCGCCGGCCGATTTGAAAAGACAGCAGGTTAGTTACAGATTTAGCTCTTTGTCTCGTCGAAGTTAATCTCTGTTTCATTGATTTTATGGGTATCAATTTTCTGAATTGGGTTTACAATTTTTATTTTATTTTGGTCCAAAATTTCAATTTTATGAATTGGGTTTGCAAAATTTTAAGTTTGTTCCCACTGTATAAAGAAAAGTTTCAATTTTTCGGAATTGGGTTTGTAAAATTTTGTTTTGTTCCCACCTTAATAAAGAGAGGTTTCAAATTTCATTTTTTTCTGAATTGAGTTTGCAAATTTTTTCATTTAGTTGCGATGTGTTAAGTTGATAATGGATTCAAGCTATGATGGTTGTGGTGATCTGCCTTTTAGTATTACTGAATACTGATTAGATTACTGAATATTTTTCTCGAAAAGAAATGACAAGTTGTGGTAGGAAATTGTAAGTGAAGTTACTAAGCTTCCCAAAAATCCAACCACGAGCACAAGAATAGTTGTGATGGAGTTAGCATTTGGCATGAGCAAAAATAAAATGAAAAAAAGGGTTGTATACAGTGTTACTAATAGTAGATGTTGAAGAAGCCTTGTATACGAAGGCAAAGAGAGAAGATAAGAAGGCATGGCTTTTGGTAAATTTAAGGATGTAGGAAGGTGGGAGGGGGAGAGAAATATTTAAGCTAGCATGACTGAGAGAAGAGGGATTTGGGTCCGATGTTTGTAAGGTGTCTGTTTATTTGATTAACGGAGGCAGCACAGACTACAGTGGGGAGAACCATGAGGTTTTAGACTCTAAAAAAATACTAGGCGAATTCTTTCTATCTGCCCTAACTTTGGTGGGCAGAGTTACTCGGTACTTGTGCTGATGGGAGGTACTCCCTCCGTCCACAATTAATTGTCATGGTTTCCTTTTTTAGAGTCAAACAATAAGAACTTTGACCATCATTTTACGATGTATATTTTCATCATATTGATATGCAAAAAAATGCAACTTATAGTACTTTTCATATAGTTTTTGAATATCTAATTTTTTTTTAAAAAAAATCGAATTAATGTAATTTAATTTAACTTTAAAAATTAGTCAAATTGACTTTCGAAAAGCGCAACATGACAAATAAAAGTGGACAGAGGGAGTAGCAGGTATCTAGTGGAATTAGTGGAGGTGCACATAAGTTGGCCCGGACACCACCGTCATAAAAAAAAAAGGAGCTACTAATTTTAAAGAACTAATTTCCTTGAAGGCAAATTATTGAAAAATATTTGAATTAAATTAGTCTAATATAGCATAATGAATAACGAGTATTTATAATGCCGATCCCTAGTGTCTTTTTTTAGTTTTTATTTGAAGGAATAGCTTATTGATTGACATGAAATGTTCACGACAAGTATTCTAGATTTGGGATGAAAAGTTTGAAGTCATATACCAAATCCTTCTATCGATACTGTGGATTTTAATTTTAGACCTTTCAAATAAATTGATCAGTAATAACCATAAAATCCTAATCTCTACTCAAACAGACATTTGAGTTGATGTTTGTATGTAAAGTGACTTTGATAGTTATTATCTCCTGTAACTAATAGTTGTATAGTCTATCAAGGCAGTTAACCATAGAGACTGGTCTGTGTTATGCATAACTATTCAAGCTTTTCATTTAGGCTTTGTAAACAAAACATATCTAATCAATACTCATCTTGTATAATCGGTATTTGAATTTTCATTTGAAGCATGCCTCAGGTTAATGAAATGAATATCATTTACCTTTATAAGGTTGTGCTTTGGAACTTATGCTGATTGCTTGAAATGTAATTCAGGATCTCTGTCTTCAGCTGAGGTGCAGAGCTTCTTGTAATGGAGAAGGGGGATTTTTGCATCTCCACTATGGCATCATCAAATATCGCAGTTCTATTAACTATTGGTGTCATCACTGTACTTGTGATACGAATTGTTTATGTTATTAATAGGAGCAGAAAGCCGCTTCACTCCAAATCACCACGATCCCTCAGTACTCTTATTGTTCTGGGTTCAGGTCTAGTTTTATCTGTGATAGTTTTTCTTCTGTTTTACTGCCTTTTGCTTATACTCGTTCTAAATCTTTTAAGTTCAACTATAATGTAGGTGGTCACACAGCAGAAATGTTAAACTTATTATATGTCCTTCAAACAGAGAGGTTTAAGCTGAGGTATTATATTGCCGCTGCTACTGATAATATGAGTCTCCAAAAAGCTCATGTGTTTGAGGATTCCTTGCTCGGTAAGGTATAGTACATCAGTTTAATTTATTTGTTGGTTTTTCTTTCCCCCTTTTAATCAGACAATAATATGTCAGAAAAACGACGAATGGAGTAGTGTGTGGTTTCTTGTGTCTATGTCTCTATGAACCAAGAGAGGATAACATTTTTGCATTAGCTGTTAACACATTATTCTTGTGACTTCTCTCAACACCTTTATCAGTTTTGGATAAGGCTTCTAAGTTTCCTTTTGGATCTTAACACCTCGTTCACTGTGTCCAAATATTTGATTGCCTTTGTTGTTAAGTGACTAATATATCCATCAGTCACTCAGGTCCATCATTGTTCCTAATTGCTTGCTCATGCAGTTCAATGTGAAATGTTAGACTTCGCTTTTTCTACTGGTAGAGGTGTAAAAGTGCCAAACCTGTATGTTCAACATCAGGTGGCAATTTTCAGGAAGTTTGGCTTGAATATCATTGTAACCTAAAGATCTCTCCAAATCAAAATGTGTTGCTTCTTGTAGAGTCTAATCTTAGAACTTGTAGACTGGCAGTCCTTATCTTTTACAAATATATCAAAAACAAAGATTCATAGAAGGCCCAAACGCCAATTTGTGCATCCAGTATGGTAAATCACATGATTTCTCATAAGATCAAAAGAATTTTAGAAAATCAAATTATGTATCTCAATGCATCAAACAATCGGTAAACCAAGTCTTTTTACTTATTATTTGCAGTAAGAGATGAAAAATGTTTGTGCAGATGTGTTCCCTGTATAAATGTTGGGAACATTTAGCTATAAGTTGTCTGCATACAACTGTGTGTACCTTGCTTTTCGCCTCTGAGATTAAACCGTAGTCTGTATGTTCTTTCAGATTGTCTATCTTAGGTTTGGAGGGGTGTTCATTATCTTCTAGTTGTTTAGAGTATTTGAAATACATTTGCAACACCACAGAAGCGCCCTCTTCTCCCCGAACTGATCATGATATTCTATTCTTTTATTGGCTATATTAATAGGACTACCTCTTATTCTAGGAAGCGCTCAAGGAAGTAGGGGGGGCTGAATTCATGCAGATATATCGAAGTCGAGAGGTTGGTCAATCGTATATAACCTCAGTTGGAACCACATTGGTTGCAATTGCACATGCGTTGTGGTTAATGATCAAGATCAGACCTCAAGTGGTATCAGACAAACCTCTCATATTACCTTTTACTCCCCTCCCCTTTGAAATTGAAATTATCAATCTGCAGATACTTTTTCCTTTATATATCCTGGTCTTCTGATTTATCTATATTTGGTACTTTGTCTCAGATTCTGTGCAATGGCCCTGGAACGTGTATTCCACTATGTGTAATTGCCTTCCTTTTCAAGGTTTGTTTATTAGAGAGTAATTTTTTGTTCTTTTAACTTATTTGTATAGTCAAGTTGGATGCTAGAATACTGATTACATGCAGAATATCTCTGTTACGTCCATTCATGTATTTTCAACTATCTTGCTTGGACTCTTAAAACTGCTGACAGTTGCATGTTGGATCCTCCAAAAGTATAGTGTATTTCGGAGTATTCGACTGAGGTGATGCCACATTTTTGGAGTGTCCTAGCAACATAGATTTCAAAGTGTATAGGACGACAACAACTTGGACCATTTTGTCTATTCCTTGTCGGTTCATAAATATTTGCCTCGACTTATCATGGCATGATGTTGTTGAGAACTCTTATCCTCTAAAATGCCTTGAGCTTATTTGGTTTCATGGCCTCTCCAAGCTTATTTGGCACCATCCCTTTAAAAAAAATATGAACAAACCTAACAAAAGGAGGAAGAAAACAAGTCAATGAATCAAAAGAGAGCACTTGACTACTCACAGTCACATTGATATCGAACTTGCAAACACTTTTAGTTTCTTATGATCCTTCAAGGTGACATTTGAGGTGCTAATTAAAAGTTCAATTGCTTCAGGTTTTGGGAATTAGGTGGTCATCGATTTTCTATGTTGAGAGTATTGCAAGAGTCAGGAAGCTGTCGTTAAGCGGTTTGCTTCTTTACAAGCTACACATGGCAGATCAGTTATTCGTGCAATGGCCGCAACTAAAAGAGATGTATCCGCGAGCTCATTATGTTGGTCGTCTTATGTAATCTATCAGTTTCTGATCTATTATAGTGAGGTACGTAGTACTCGAGCTCTGTTGATGCGTTTGAAGAGTTCTACAAATGGATGTAAAGGGTCTTCGTTTGAAAGAGAATATTATTGTTATCTTCTTGAGGCAAGGAAAGAAATTAATGATCATTTCGAAGTGATTGGCACCATTGTTGTTGTTTTTGTATCATATAGGTAACTTGCTAAGTTAAAGATTCCAGAGAGAGTTAACAAATACAAGTGTATTTAAGTTCCACTTTTCCAAAGTTTTATACATGAGTAAACCTTTTGACATATTTTATTATGAATTTAGACTGGAAGCTCATTACTAGTTGTTGTTGTTGCTAGATGAAACATTCTTGGCAATCAACTTAGTGGCAAAGTTGTCTCCATGTGACTTGTAGGTCACGGGTTCGAGCTGTGGAATCCTCCGTTGTTACTTGTGTCAGGTAAACTGCCTATGTCATTCACACCTCGGGATGTAGACCTTTCTTGGACCTACAAGTCACGGATTTGAACCGTGAAATCACCCTTTAGATACTTGTGTCAGGGTAGGCTGCCTACCTCCCCCCAATCGGTACTTGCCTATGTCAGAGATGTAGTCCTTTCTTGGAAGTTGGACCTACAAGTCACGGATTTGAGCAGTAAAATCACATGTTTGCATATTGCATTCATAGTTCATAAAACTAACTAGGTGAAACATAAATATAACATAGGGATTATTACATGAATAGCTGGATGTGTGAGCTTATTCATATTATTGGCTTTAACTCATAGCGACATTAAACAACTTTATAAAATAAAACTACCTTAAAGGGACTAGGGGACATTTTGAGAAGTAAAGAAAAATATTGATTTATTGTAAGTCGCAAAGTAATCTTGCTGTCATGATCCACTTGGATTTAATCCCATTCAACATTTCTATCCAACTTATAGGAAGTACTCAACAATATATCAAATAAGGCCATTTATCCAGTACCAAATTGAAAGGGCCCAATAAGAACTTTTTATTTCAACTTGAATATATACATAATTGATCACATTTATATGTACACCTCTTGAAAAGTTGACAAAAAAACATAATTTACAATAGAATATTACACAAGAGTGGATTTACTCAGTGCATACCAAAAGAGTTGTGGCTGCGAGTTTCTCCGGGGTTCAACTAGAGGAAACTTCTCTAGAGTTTTGTTCTATTAATTCTTCCTTGGCCTCCACATGATTGAGATATTGTTGATAAATTTGTGAACCAAATCCCCAAAAGGCTAAAAACATAACCACCAACTTCAAACCTTTAATCTTATCATGAAGAAAAATCACAGCAAAAAATGGAGTAATTGGAGCCCATAAATTGTTAAAAACATTGGACATTAGGGGGTTGACTTTAAAAACTAGCCCAATTGAAGCCACAACATTTAATTGACATGAAATGGCTATAAAAGACAAGATGACTACATAAGATAATTTCCCTAATTGGTATTTTTCCATCTCCATGATTAAATTCTTCCAATCTCCACTTATAAAAAAACCTAGTAGGATCACTATACTTGCAACTAGGGTTTGGTAAATTGACATCTCTAAAATATCTATGAACTTCCTACCCTTTATTATTTTTCGATACGTAAAATCGGTTAAAGAAAGCACTAAGGAATACGTCACGGACCCACCAATCGTAGAAAAAAACCCTAGCAAAAACTTTCCACTAGACGTTTCCCCAGACTCATTATAATTATGAACCACCAGAATGACCGAGGCAGCTGTTACAAGAACTACAGAGTTTACTATAGCTGGGGTGAACTTCTGTGCATTGTGGAATAAAGAGAAGATAACAGTGAACCCTAGTCGAGTGGTACCAGTGAGAGAGTACGTTGAGACTTGAAGGTACTTTAGACTGACCGAGTTGAAAACACTAACCCCACCAAGTAGCACACCTAGAACAACATAAACTAAAAAGATTATGCAAATATGGGGTTCTTGATTTCCTTTAATCACCTCAATTTGGATATTATTTTTGAGTGAGATATAGTATAGGAAAGGAAGAAGAATTGGGAACCCTGCGTTTTGCACTAATGAGACTAACCATATACTTTTACCACCTTTGGTAAAATATGTTTTAACCAATAGTGTTGTTACTACTTCTCCAATTAGAGTAAAAAGGGTAAAAATGGCAACTTGGTACCACCATTTATGCTTAGCAAAGTAGGAACAAGAATGAGTTGATCCACTTGATTCAATGTTGGAATTTTCATCCTCACATATTTCTTCATCTATCAAAAAGAAAAAAAGTAAAATGAATAAATAAGATAATGTTTAATAAATAAGCCATAGTTGTCTAAAAAGACGAGTTTAAGTTATATATTCCGTCAGTTTAAGGAAATTATAAAAGATGAGGTCACCAAATATTGTAAAAATTCTTCACAATGACATGTATATAACTCATATCATGAAAATAATTCTAACTAAACCAATGAGATGATAGTCGCAAATTAAAGCAAAAGTGTTTTGTTTACTAGTATTGAAACTTACTTTAAGGACTAGAAAAGCTTACAACACAAGTAATAGCGCGAAGTGCAATAATAAAGTAAGCTTTTGAAAAGTTACAATACAAGTTATAGAGCAAAACATAACGGGGCAGAAGTGACTTAAGGATTTAACTTATATACACTTATTCATATATTGTTACAAGTTATTTATCATATTTTACGGATTAGATCATGTTAATTATTAGAAATATTACATGTAACTAAAAGAACCCCCAACTTAAACATGCTTTAGTTTTCTAAAACAAGCTTAATTTTTAACAAAATGGCATTTATTCCCAAATAAAAAATTACATTAAAAGCTACTTCAAAATAATTTAAGAATTGGTTTGTGGAAAGCTTTTGGAGAATGTGTTTTCTTCATTTTATTGTTTGGATTAAACAAATCAGCACACCCCTACCCACTACACCTACTCCACTATAATTTGCTTTTAATTCTTGTCTCCTTTACTTTATAGTTTATATATAAAATCAAGGATCTATGGGAAATAATTTTTTGCTTCGTAAAGATAAGGATATATAATTACACTGAGTAATTTGAAAAAAGTAAAATTTATGTGTATCTTAGTTCTTACTACTATATTGAGAAATAGAACTAATAACTATTTTCGAAGGATCCTGACTTATTATTTTCTGTCTATATATAATGAATTATCATTGCCTTTTTTTTTACCCTACAATTATTGTCTCTTTTTTGGCTACTTTCTCAAAATGTGGCTCTACCATATAGCAAAGGTCTCAATTTTAATCGTCACCTAAGATGTCATTTTAGGAAAAAGCTTATAATATAAATATATAATATGACAAAAGAAGAAAAGATATTTGGAAGCAAATAAAAGCACACCAATTATCACCTGACATCTACAAATAATAGATTTTTTTTTTAAATAACTGTCTGCTATTAGATCAAGGGAGGATGTATCAGTTACGAGTTCAATTGAATCCATAATTTTTATGTTTATATAAGAATTATTAAATTATAATAAATAGTGGATGTGAACTCATAACTTTAAAAATATACTAACATATTTGATGAATTTTGAAAGATTGAATTTATAAAACTTAAATTCTGAATTCATTTTTGTGCTTAATAAATACTGACTTGATCAATTTAAATTTGCACCATATAAGATTCAATAAAAAGGAGTGCTCAATAACGTGAAATCCTCGTTGTTCATTGTTTTGAGATAATTATTTAGTAACTGAAACCCCCCACCCCTCCCTCCTTTTTTTTCTTGCAATTTATGAATCTTTATACTACGATTCAGAAATCACTTTTGAGCAAATTAATAATCTTGTGAGAAAATATTAGTTCATAGTCTAAAAAGCATATCAAAAGACAATAGTGTTTTATCAATCCAAAAATTTATATTTGGAGAACTTTAGAAATAGGAACAAAACATAAATAGTGGCCTAAGAAGGAATATTTGCATAAATCAAATTTCTCGATCACAATTTTTTTATTTATTCCTACGTGTTGAATTTGAGACTTCTAATTAAAGAATTAAGTTCTTGTTTTAGTCGGTTTCAAAAAATATAATAGTTTAAACAATTTTTTTACTTTTTTAAATTTATCATTAATGACGTGTTCTACTAACCATACAAATATCGACAAAGTTTGAGAATTAAAAATTTAAACAACTTTCAATTGAACAATAAATTATATAATTAAGCACGTTGTCATATAAAGTCAAGAATAGAAGGAATATTTTATTTTATTTTTAATTTTGAAAAACAACAACCTAAGAGGATTAATTGTCAAATCATTTTTATAAAAGAAAAAAAATATATAATTAAGAAAAATAAAATTAAGCTTGAGTGTAATAAACTCAAGCTTCATAATTGACATTTGAACCTCTCACAACCACGGGCGGAGGCAATTATTTAGTCATGAAAATTCAAATAATTTTAAAATGGAAAAAGACTCAAATATATTATCGAACTTTGAGAAAAGACTCATTTATGTCATTTGTTAAAAAATTTAGCTCGTCTATGTCATTTTTGTTTGAGAAAAAAGGTTCATTCATGCCATAATTTGTTAACTAAAATGGCATAGATGAGCCAAACTTTTAACGGATGACATAGATGAATCTTTTCTCAAAGTTTGATGATATATTTGAGCCTTTTCCCTTTTAAAAAATTATTTAATTAATAACGTGATCGAATCATAGTTGACCACGTGTACAAAATGATTTACAAAATGAAACTGTTTTCAATTAACAAATAATGACATAGATGAGCCAAACTTTTAACGGATAACATAAATGAGCATTTTCTGAAAGTTCGATGGTATATTTGAGTATTTTCCCTTTCAAAAATACTATAGCTTTTACACTAAAAATCTTGAATCTGTCTCTATCCACACCTACTCACTCTCGCTCTAGATTATATATAAATATTTTTGAAACAATATTTTCTACACATATTTTCTTATCAAACATATAAAAAATAAGTATTAAAAAAATATCTTTCTTTTAAGAAAAAACATTATCCTCAAAAAAAAAAACAGTCATCCCAAAAACACCCTTAACATAATGGCAAACATTACCATATCTGCAGCCGAAATATCAAAGGAAATTCCTATCTAACAAACAAACCTCCACACCATTATTTATATCCAATGAATGAAACCATATTATGTTTTTTTCCGTTCTGATGTTCGATACTCGTATTAAAGTCTAATTGATTCAAATTCAAACTATATAAGGTTTTTTTATGGGGAAAATACTCACTAACAAGAATTTTTTTTTCATAAC